TGTTGATTAGCCTCTTCTCATAGGGATCTGGTTTTGAAGCCATAACTTTTGGCATTATACTTTTTCATTTTTCCACTTTCGAGTCGTGGTTCTCCTCCTTTTCCTTTTTTTTAAACCAACAAATCTCTTCAATTCTTTCGGTGGACTTCACAATGGTCATTGTTGTATCATCCGATAAGAATGCAGTAATTTGCACTGCAACTGTTATCTTGTTTGCAACATATGTGATCTGCATTTGTTATCATCTTAAAAATTATTCGGTTGATTCATCTGAAAACATCGAGTTTGATTTTAGGTTCGAAAAGTTTATTCGCCGAAGCAATCCACAGCGCTATGGATACAATGAATCAGTTGATTCTACTAACGGGTATACGTTTCTCGCAACGTAATCCTGATCGAAATTTTCCATACGGGTACGGTAATGTTCGGTACGTGTCTTCTTTGATCACCGGTTGTGGTATACTGTCGTTTGGATGTGGTCTTTCGATGTATCATGGCATTAGCGGGTTACTTCACGGTGGAACACTGGAACCACTCACCTATGTTAGTTGGTTCCTTCGTTTATCATTGTACATATTTATTTCTGTTGTTATCATACTTGAGATAAATGTCATTGTTACTTTATCAGTTCGACTCTGAAATATTTAATAGTTTTATACATTTTAGTCATGAAATACAAGAACATAATATTTGCAGGCATATTACGCTTTATTTATGTCATTACTATTCCAAGGGTCATCCGTCATAACCGCTTTCCGAGAAGCACGGCGAAAAGCTGCGGCTGCTAGAATATCACTTATCAATTATGGTTTGTTTTGTTCCTCCTGAAATTTGTGTTGATATGAAAAATGGTGTGATTTAAACAGGTTGATCATTTATTGATAAGATATGCATTTGATTATGTCATTTTTTGGTGTTCCATAGAGAGTATCATCGAGAAGTGCCGAAACTGATATGCAATGTATTGCCAAGTTGAATACTGGTACCACGTTAGCGCTTGTAATAAAATCAGTTTTAGTATGCACTTAATGATATCACTAATAATGGTAGTGAAGAATGGTAATAATGATTACTCCAAAAAGATGATGACGATATCAGCATTTGAATGTTTTCAGTGCGAACCACAGCAGATCCGAGTCTGAATGTGGTACTTCTTGAGGATTCTGCCGCCGTGACAGGTGTAGCGATTGCACTAACGGCCGTCTCGTTGAGTTCCGTATTCGAGTCAACAATTCCGGATTGTTGTGGATCGATTTTAATTGGGTGTTTATTAGGTACTGTTGCATCGTTTATAATCAGAACGAATGCAGCACATTTGGTGGGTAGGTCACTTCCGAAACGAATCACCGATGATATTGTATGCAGACTGGAAAATGATCCCATTATTAGGTGAGTGATGAATTCATTTACGATTTATAAATATTTATTCGATTTGTGTTGCAGTTAGTATATACTTTGATTTGATTTTGAGTTTGACTTGATTACTTCATTGAATTCGTTGATTATTGTGTTTTGAAGCGG